GGCATGTTTCGGTAATTACTAGCCTGCCACCCGATTCCCTGTCTTTCAGTAGTGTATAATAATATATAATAAACATATCTTCTTTCATCTACGCGCGTGTTTCTGTTCCTTGACTCGCATACCACTTTAACCTCTTTAAAGATGCAACAGAAAATTTGATACTCACATGACAGATTGAAAGCAACAACGCATAACCTACATAGCGAGCTTGAGTAAATGGATAGCGATGCAATATTTGGGTGAGATAAGAAAGGCCAATATTTCTAAGAGCTACACAGAACAAGAAATTGTGGAGAGCCTTGATCGTCAATGGCCGGACAGGGCACATAGAATAAGTTTTCTCAAGCCCAGTAACTGTTGTCACTCTTTCCAGTATTAATGGCGGTTTTCTTTCCTAACTTTTTTGTTGGTAGTCGTGTGTAACGTTAACATCTTCATTATGCCATTATTTTCTCTTCGAATTACATGTGCTATCCATTTTAGTTGTTTGTGCTGTTGGTAGTCCTCAAGTGATGTGGTTTCTGTTATTTGGTACAGTTCTTTGTTTGAGAATCTGTGTTTAAAGATGGATGATCATTACCAAGGCCCTTAGGTTTCACTCACTCAAAGCTTTTTTCACTAATGACCTCAGGAAGTAACTGTATACAGCTGAGAGTTTAGCTTTTCTGCATGACATCCATATGAAAGTCTTGATCTTATGAGGCTATTTAAGAACATGACTACACCAAGATCCCTAAGCTTCACTCACTTAAAGGTCAGGAAAATGTGAAGGTCTATGACCCCCTACAATCTGATGGGCCACGCTACATAGAAGAAAAATATTCACCCAAAGTGTCAGAGGCCGATTAAGTTATTTAATGATATTGCTGTATGAGCGTAACTTGAGGAGGTTCGCCATTCAAGAAATCAAGCTGGTTCATGCCTTTGCCAAGGATTTTACCTCAAACACACTCAAAGAGAGATATATGCATCACAATTTCAGAAATGTGAAGCACTCATAAGGATCGAACTCACTCGTTAAAGTCAATCACTGATCACTGCCCTATACCAAGGACACCATATTGTTAATCTTAGCATTGGCACAAATCCTCAAGAATGGGACACTCAGTGCAGATCGAAATCACTTATAAAAGTCAACTAGATTTTCTCGCTACACGTCGAGGCTTCATTTTTTTTTTGTCATCTACTCCACTTAGCTTAGTATGGTACAAGGCCACACGAACCCAGTACGCAATGAGAATCGAACACACTACTCTATAGTAATGTTTAGTCATATTAGCTCGTTAGCCATCACCTCACGCTGGGGCTCCCTAAAATAGCACATAAAGCAGACTATATGTTTTTGTTAATTTTTAAGTCCTTGCTCTTTGACGCATACTATTTGAATTCCGAAACATTTCAAGATGCCATTTGTGAGCGGGCTTAGAAAAATAAATAACGAAACGAAAATAAAACAAAATTAAAAATTAAATTTAAAAAAGTATTCATTTTGTTAATGAATTTTCTTTTCTTCGTGTTTCTCGGCAATTCACGGAATCTTCAAGTCAGAAAAGTCAAAAAAAAAAAAAAGTTTAGATAACAATGAGCCTGATCAATTTTTTTTTTCCCAACGGAGAGAAGTTGGCATTTTAGGCTCTATGGGTTTTGGGAGGTATTTCTAACACACAGTACACACACACACACACACACACACACACACACACACACACACACACACACACACACATACACAAGAACATACACTATAGTTCAAAAGTTTGAGGACACTCCTGATAATTTTAATTGATCCAAAAAGTAGTTGTTTAAATAAGAGAAAATTATTATACAAGGTTAAAAAATGAGACATGATTTTTTTTATTAGAAATTTTGTCAAAAATAAAAAAAAGCATTTTATGATCAAATTTAGCCCTCGTCAAAATATCCACTTTTAGCCTTGATTACTGAAGCGCAAATTCTTGGCATTCGTTGCAAAGTTTCTTAAAGTATAAGCTTGATAATTAATTCCATACTTTTTTCAATAATTTTAAGAACTCTTTTTCATTTTACTTTTTTCAATCTTCTGTCACGTTCATGCCAGGCTAATTCTGATATATATATATATATATATTTGTGTGTGTGTATGTGTTTGTGTGTGTGCGTGTGCGTGTGTGTGTGCGTGTGTGCGTGTGTCAGTTTTGGCTCTAGTAGTTGGGGGAGCTCTTTCTAAAGCACATACATACGCATATCTATATATTAATGCGTGTGTTAAAAATAGCTCCGTAAACTCCTAAAGCTTGAAATAAAAAAATTATGTATGTGCGTGTGTGTGTGAGAGAGTATATGTGTGCGAGTTTCGTTTTACACTCTAGGGGTTTAGGAGAACTATTTATAATTCACACACACACACACACACACACACACACACATATACATATGTCAGTGCGTGTGTGTGTGTATGTAGGCGAATTTGTGTCTGTTGCGTAGTTAATAAAATAACGCATTGTAATACTGTATGAGATATGTAATCAGGAATAGAATATATATATATATATATATATATATATATATATATATATATATAAAATAAAAAAGAAGAGAAGAGAGGTGCCGCTAACGTTTTTTGGTTGTAATGTGGATTTATTTAGAAAAAAATATTATGCTTTGTTTTACATAATTTTACGACACGGGTTTCTGGTCTCGCGACCATCTTCAGGTAAAAGTGGAGATTTCTACATATTATTAAAAATAATTAATTTTTCTTCATGTTCAATGTGAAATATTCTCGATATGAGACATTCTCTGTTTGTGTGTTGGTAATCCGAATTTCTTTCTAGTCTCTTCTTTTTAATATACATACTTTTCTCTCGTTGGAACCACTACAACATATTTCTTTTATATATATATATATATATATATATATATATATATATATATAAAGAAAGAAAGAACAGTAAGATATAATCCGGTGTTCTTATAGATATTTTATTTTTATAAAATAGTGCTCAATGTAAATTTACAGAGATAAATTAATTGATTAAAAATATGTTTTTTAATGGCTTTTAGCTTCCAATTTTGAAACATGGTTAGAACTGTGTAGCGAAAAAAAATATAATATATATATATATATATATATTATGAAATGAATTAAGTCCGACGTTTATTTAATATATTAAGATATAATTTATTTAAGTAAATGCACTGTTTTTTTTTTAATTTAACAGTATTTACCGGCCTGAATGTTCGAGAAATTTCGTAGAAACTATTCGCGCTTCGACTGGAGTCGAACCTGTAACCCTTATGGGAACCGTCCTATAGCCTGACATGCTTTTACCTTTCATCTATAAAAAATAAAGTATAAACAGAATATATATATGTATGTGTGTGTGTGTGTATGTGTGTTTGTATCTATATATATATATATATATATATATATATATATATATATATATATATATATATATATATATATATATATATATATATATATATATATATATATATAAATGAACATATAAAAAAAGAGGACAGTGGGTGGCGTAACAGTTATGGGTGGCATAAAAAGGAATCGGCCAGCCGAGTTCAAATTTTGATCTAGTAAGTAGCGTTCAATTCCGTACTAATTCATTCGGAAAATACAGGAATCCTTCTTTTCTCGCCCTATCTATGGATTAAATAGCAGAGTAGTTTGGGCACTATGGCCTTGGGTGACAGCCAGTCTAATAGAATGATTACTCTAACTTCACATTCGTACGGAAAACAACAAGAAGGCAATAAGTTAACCTTCGAAATACGTAATGAAAATTCAAGTTAATAAGGAAAAAGGAGACTGTGGAGGGCCATGTCTGATTACGTGTGGAAGATAAGGAGAAAGCACGCCACTGTCTTTCCCTGAACGTCATAGCAATTTTCAAATAATAAAGGAAAAGGACACAGTGGAGAGCCATGTCCGATTACGTTCTAAAGGACGAAAATTCTGTATTCCAAACTGTGATGAAGGAAACAAGAAACAAGATCACTTTCTTTCACAAGATGCTATAGAGATTCACTGATAATAAAGAAAAAGGACGCTGTGGAGAGCCATGTCTGACTAAGTGTAAAAGGTAAGAGGAAAGACGTCATGGCAATTCACTGATAATGAAGAAAAAGGACACTGTGGAGAGCCATGTCTGACTAAGTGTAAAAGGTAAGAGGAAAGACGTCATGGCAATTCTTAAATACTAAAGAAAAAGGACACTGTGGAGCGCTATCATCGCTTGTGTCAAAAGGACATTAAAAAATGTTCATGCAAAAATGCCTATGATAGATTACCTAGGAGTCATAACTGAATGGTGGTTTTCTAAGCGTAGCTTAGATGTGGCACAAAGCCGAAAGTATGGGACACCCAGTGTAGTCTTAATCGAATGTTTTTAAACGCTTTCATCTTCCACGGCTGTCTTGTTTTACCAACTTCTAGTCGTAGTAGCACGAGCCAGGCATATAGAAGCCAATACATTTGATAGTCCACCGTATTAACTTCCTGCAGAAACTATTGTTGCGACTGTAGATTGAATTTCTAGTTATTCAGGCCACTTTTAATCAATTAGCATCAATAGTCAATTAACAAGGATTTCCTCTGGAGTTTCCTGTTTCATGTAGGAACACTTATGGCAGTTTTCTCACAAAAGACATAATGTCTCCACAGAATTGCTGCTTCATTCATTTTATTGCTATTTTGTTTTCCTTGTTTTCTCGTTTTTGGTGGGTGTGTGGTTAGTATAATGGATGGCAACTCGAAATGAGGGAGACGAGTTCGCTATGTTCACTTATCAGGAAAAACCCTTGGGAAAGGTAGAAATCCATCTCCTCTACCCGCTACCAACTATGGCTTAAATTGTAGAAAAATCGTTGTTATCTGCAAGAGATTTTTATACAATATCTCCCCCCCACACACACACATACACCGAAAAAAAAAGAATTATTCTTAAAATCCAATTTATGTTTCGGCTTTAAGTAACCGACAAATGGATGATAAACCGTAAAAAATGAATAATTCTCTCTTTTTGTTTCACTCCTTTTCCTCTCTTCATGCTTTAGTTTTCTTTTTCTTTCTCTCCTTTATACGTTTTTTTGAATTGCCTCTCCTTACGATGTCTTCAATCTCTCTCTCTCTCTCTCTCTCTCTCTCTCTCTCTCTGTGTGTGTGTATTTTTCTGTTTTCTTTCACTCTACCAGACATTCTTTCTCGTTTTTTGTCTCCTCTTTTTGTTTCACACTCTTTCTTCTCTCTTCAGCTCTTTCTTTCTTTTTCTTTTTCTCCTTTATATACTTTTCTTGAATCAATTCTCCTTACGATCTCTTCTCTCTCTCTCTCTCTCTCTCTCTCTCTCTCTCTCTTCCTGTTTTGTTCTCTCTCTTTGTCCTCCAATCCTTCTTCTCTCTTCGGCGCACCAAGGTCTTCTCTCGCTCCCCGCTCTTTATAATGCTAATTTTCGACCTACTATTATTTTGCTTCCAATTATTTTCTCTCGTTTATTCATTCTTCTTCTTCTTCCCCTCTCTCTCTCTCTTTCCCTCTCTCCCTCTCTCTCTCGCTCTCTCTCTCTCCCTCTCTCTCTCTCCCTCTCTCTCTCCCTCTCTCCCCCTCTCTCTCTCTCCCTCTCTCTCTCCCTCTCTCTCCCCCTCTCTCTCTCTCTCTCTCTCTCTCTCTCTCTCTCCGTATCTATAGGAAGGAAAATAAGGCAAAAGGGACAACAAAGAAAAAGAGATTGGAGAATTGAAGAAACTGGGAATTAATTTTTATAAAAAAGATATGCAAACCATTTGCTATCATTCAAATACGATATAAAAATACTCCCGTGTTGTCAAAACAGATATGGAAGCTAAAAATGAAAGGAAAAATACCAGTAATAGAATGGGGTATAATATAAACAAGTGCGGTATAATAAAGAATAGGGTATAATAAAAGAAATGGGGTATAATAAAAGAAATGGGGTATAATAAAGAATGTGGTATAATAAAAGAAATGGGGTATAATAAAGAATGGAGTATAATATAAACAAATGCGGTATAATAAAGAATGGGGTATAATAAAAGAAATGGGTATAATAAAGAATGGAGTATAATAAAAGAAATGGGGTATAATAAAAGAAATGGGGTATAATAAAAGAAATGGGGTATAATAAAAGAAATGGGGTATAATAAAGAATGTGGTATAATAAAAGAAATGGGTATAATAAAGAATGGGGTATAATAAAAGAAATGGGGTATCATAAAAGAAATGGGGTATAATAAAAGAAATGGGGTATAATAAATAATGGGGTATAATAAAAGAAATGGGTATAATAAAGAATGGGGTATAATAAAAGAAATGGGTATAATAAAGAATGGAGTATAATAAAAGAAATGGGGTATAATAAAAAAAATGGGGTATAATAAAAGAAATGGGTATAATAAAAGAAATGGGGTATAATAAAAGAAATGGGGTATAATAAAGAATGGAGTATAATATAAACAAATGGGGTATAATAAAAGAAATGGGGTATAATAAAAGAAATGGGGTATAATAAAGAATGGGGTATAATAAAAGAAATGGGGTATAATAAAGAATGGGGTATAATAAAAGAAATGGGTATAATAAAGAATGGAGTATAATAAAAGAAATGGGGTATAATAAAAGAAATGGGGTATAATAATAAATGGGGTATAATAAAAGAAATGGGGTATAATAAAGAATGGGGGTATAATAAAAGAAATGGGGTATAATAATAAAAAAAAAGATGAAGAAAACCAGAGTAAGAAATTGCAATCTATGGATGGAAAAGAAACGGAAAGTCATAGAATTCAAAGATGTGAATGGATTAATAAACAAAAAGAACGACATCATTTCAAACTGTCGACACGCTGATGGATTCCTTTTGAGAAACATGAAAAACAACAGTAACGCTCGGGAGCGTCCAAGGGAATCAAACGTATTGCAGGAAACTGTCTGTTTAGAGGCAAATAATCTAAAAATGTCATTTTGACGTGTATTAAAAAACACTTTTAAAAGTACTTAAAATCGAGCATTCTTATTCTTTTTTATACATAAAAAAGGAATATGCAAATTTATACATAAAAAAGGAATATACATAAATTACATATATATATATATATATATAAGTGAACATTGAAGTCAACACTCAGAAGTACAGACTGTTTTATGTTAGGTGACCTGATGATTGTGTCTAGCATGAAACAGTCCGTCGCCTCAGAGTGCTGGCTTCAATGTTCACTTTTATATTTATATTTACATACGCTCTATCTCTGCTACTGAGTAATTTATCCCATAAATATAGCACACCTTAAAACTACACACACACACACACACACACACACACACACACACACATATATATATATATATATATATATATATATATATATATTATCGACTTTTGGAAAAACGTTCATGAAGTATAATGTTTCGAAAAAATATACTTAACGATCGTTTTTCCAAATGTCAATAATATATAAGTTTGTCATAATTTTATACCCAACTTTATAACTTAATGTCGATATGGAGAACGCAAGTATAAAATAAAAACTATCCTTTCATTTATTTCCTACCCATTCTGAAGGAATTCTATCTCTAGACTCAGACACTTAAATCAAAGAACATTAAATATAAAACGATGTTTTAAAAGTCACTCATTTTCTTTTTCTTTTTAATCACTAGCGACGCCAGCTTGGGAAACATATAAGATTTCATTATTTTAAACACACACAAATACATAAACACACACTCATTTTTAGTCTTCGATCTGATGAAGCCAACCAGGCGAAATGCATAGTCGGATATTTTTTCGAAACTATATACTTCACGAAAGTTTTTCCAAATTTCAATAATTTATAACTCTGCCGGGATTATATACCCAAATTTATAATATATATATATATATATATATATATATATATATATATATATATATATATATATATATATATATATATATAGTCGACTCTCCTGTCTAATTCGACGTATGAGGGCCAAGCAGATCAGTTCCTAGGAAACCGACAGCCCGACAACAGCACAGGAGATTTGATTATAGTGGTGAAGGTTTCGTGCAGGACCATCCACACTTTTCGAAGGGCCGAATACAGAGACCTGGTGCACTAAATGCCACAAGGTCCCCAAACGAACCTCCGCAGGTTTTGAATTCAGAGTTGTCCTTCTCCTAGACCAGTTGCCATCCAAGGCTATAGAACCCAGTCTGTCCTGCTATTTACCCATAGCTGAAGGGAGAAGAAGAGGATTCACACCTTTCCCAAGGGTATTAGCACGTAAGTGAATGTAATGGATTCGATTGAAATTCGAACTCGGATCTCCGATTCCTCAATCCAAGCCGCTATATATTATTATTATTATTATTATTATTATTATTATTATTATAAGAGATTATAATTGATCTGCATTTCTATTACTATTCGGACCGCTATTCTCTACTCTATTCGCTATACTATTTCTCTATTCGGATCACTATACGCATTACTATTCGAGCGAGTATTATCGAGCAAGTACTATTAGTGCGAGTGTTATTTGAAGGTGTTTGACACTAGTAATGTTCAACAGCGTTATTATAGTTGTGTCTGCGATTACAAAGTCTCTACTACAACGAGCATTACGAAACTGACAACAAGTATTCGTTGGCATTACAAAAATGGCAACGAAGGTTCGTTGAGATCAAAAAACTAACAAATATATTTTCTAGCTTTAAATAACCAGCAAATGGTTGATAATTCTTAAAAAAAAATGAATCAATCAATACACTGCACTTTAATTGCCCGACTGCGCATGACACAACGTCACTATAGACGCCTGCAAAACAGTTCCTCTTTCTCATTTGCTTGACTTTCTATTTAATAACTAAAACCTACAGATACAGCTGGCTTTTAACGACCGCCATGTAGATTTTGTCTAGTTTACCTCTATTTGGTAAAGTCATTTTAATTGGGCATTTCTCCTTCTCCTTGACTAACGCAAAATCAAGACCAACAATAAAGATGAAAGACATTCGTCAAATTATCCATTTTTCTCCCGCTTTCTTCTCGTTATAACTCAGAGATAACGAGGGCTGCAATCATTTTAACGGTTAGCCTGAATTTATAAGTAATTTAAAGTCGCTTTCGCACGCAAGTTTGTATCTTGCAAAATCGACGAAATGGACAGCCGCTTAAATCTCAGAAAATCCTTTAGGAATTATTCAATCAATGTGTATACAAAATAGACTTAATATCGACGAAAAACGAAATTCAACTCCGTAGGAAAAATGTTTATGTTTGATCGATGTAGTAATCCTGAAACTGTACGTTAATGATGACGCTAGGAACTATTTTCGGAGGTGGAACAACATTGTCGATATCATACACTTTTTGTTATTCTAGTCAGACACTTATCTTACGTGTAATGGTAGAGAGGATGCGTGCATTTGCTCAGCATAGATACTTTAGTCAGGAGTCATGGAAGACATCTTTTTTATTATTCAATGTATCAACACACCAGGGGAGATAACTCTAACTTACATAGGGTGGTGATGGGATTCAGGAAATAGTCCCATTTACACTAGAGAGAAAAAACTAGAAAAGTTATAATAGGTTTCTTATCTCGATAAAGATTTCTGTTTAAACATTTTCGCACGACATCAATTTTCTAAAGTTCTTTTTGTAAGTATGTTAACTCTACTTGACTTTCCTACACTAGAAATACCTACATAGAGCTGACGTTAGAATAATTTTCTTATGTTTGTAATAACAATAATAATAGTAATAATAATAAATTCAGAAAACTTACTAGTTTTCTACTTGTTTAAATAATTCTGTACTGTTCTAAGAAAATTGAATTAAACTTATTATTTTGATTTATCTAGATAATTTCGAAATTAATTTTCGTCGCCATTCGACTAAATTGTAGTAATGGGAAACGTCAAATAGCAACAATGGTTACTACGAACGCTGCGTGAAATAACATTGTAAATAAAGTTACCGGACTAAAATTATAGAATTCTATAAAAAAAATTTAATATATTTTTTAAATCTTTTATTCTCTGTCCACTGCTTAAAGAAGTTATTTTTAGGGGACAAGATTTTATTTCTTTTGTGTTTTCTCTCAATATAAACACAGATTTTTCCGCATTCTTGTGACTGAAATTTAGCAATGAACATAGAAATTCTTTCTATACAATTATGTTGGCTCATATAGTATTTATTCCGAGTACTTTCGACATAGTATAATGTCATCATCAGGATATTGTTAGATATAGAGTAAGTATTTAGTTTTCATAATTGTGAAGGACAAAAATTGTTGTGGTCATCCGAAGATTACCATTTTTATATGTGGAGTCACGAAGATCCGTTTTGCACTAGATTAAAAAAAGGAAAACGCAAGTACGTTTTGCAGTAGATTAAAAAAAAATTTATCTTCACACTATATTGAAAAGCAAGTCATAGCTCCAGTTTATACGAGATTAAAAAAGAAAGTAGATTTCAAAAAGGGTAACACATAGGTCCCGTTACACTTGAGTAAAAATATTTTTGGCCTGGTTTATACACGTCGGCTTTTGGAAATAGGGGCCCTTACTTGCCAGCAAATTATGCTGTCGGTGTATTTCCAGGCCCGCGGAAATTTGAGACAACCTAACAGTCGCCGGCCTTTTACATTCTTTTTCGCCAGTAAACTGATTCTTCAGATAGTTTCACATCTAATACTCCTCAAAAATGTTGCTATTCTTATTTCTTTAAAATTAAATTTACTTTTTAGAAATTGATTTTTTTTTTTTATTATTTTGATTCAAAGTCGTCTGAGAAATATTTCGAAATCGGAAAGTGGTACGAACTTTAGGAGGCGGGTTAAGAAATGTTAGTTTGCCGAAGTCTTGAGATGGGGGCGAATTTGCTTTTAATGTGTGAGGGTTTGGGTTTCTCCTTGCAATGTAATGGCGTTTCAGATACGCTGGGGATTTCTTTTATATACCCTCCTGGATTGAAATGAATGCTTGTTTAATGTATATATATGTATTTAATTATATACACAAGAGATATTCACAGGAAGATCAAGAAGGGATTATTGCAATTGGACATTTGATTATAATTTTGTGAAGTAGGTCGAGCCGAGAACTTTTCAGTACCTCTGTCTCATATACAAACATAAAGATAAACAGACACACACACACATGAAAACACACACGTATATATATATATATATATATATATATATATATATATATATATATATATCCTCATCCTTTCTTCTATCACTCCTATCTGCTCTCGCTCCAAATCTTACGCAACCCCCTGCATCCTAGTGGCTTCACACCTTGCTTAGGGCGTAATGCTTATATATATATATATATATATATATATATATATACCGTAATTGCCCATTTCTAATACGCCTTCATCCATAATATGCACACCTAAAATTGTGCCGAAAGTGTGGGAAAATGCTTTTACTCATGCATAATACGCACACCTTGTTTGGTAATCAAACCCTATAAATTGTACCTCTCCAATTTCATTACGGCCAGCGTTTCCTACTTTTATTTAAAAAAAAATGATTTTAAACATAGAACAATCTGATCCTAATGTAGTTCTATGATAATTCCTATTTTATTTTACGGCAATTTTTTAAAGATTTTTTTGTAGCTGTGCATAATATCCACCTCTGATTTTGCTTGTTATTTTTAGAAAAAAAATACGTATTATACATGGGCAATTAAGGTATATATGACAAAGTGGAAAAAAACTTACGTGTGACGTCTTTCGTTCTTTAGGACCGGACTAAATTTTTTGGGGGGCAATTTG